CTTTTTTTTTTTTTTTTTTTTTTTTTTTTTTTTTTCTTGAATGCAATGACCAAGTGGATAGAAAAAGTTTTCTTAAACTCCTAGAGTGCTTTCGGAGTCAAATTCATTCAATTAAGGTGAACCTTAAAATGTGGTTCATATTCTTTTGAGCAACTTGTACGACGTACGTAACATGAGAACAGTGCTGCCCACTATGTGACCCCAAACAATAAATAGAATATGTAAGGATGGTTTGTATATAGTTTGCAAATGTTTGTACTTGGACCTCTCTATATGGAAATTAATGCATATGTTATGTGATCTGCTGTCTAATAAGTAATAAGAGTCAACCAACAAGGGTAAGTGGCCTCCTGCATAGATAGATTCAAATGAAATTCTGATTTAAATAGGGATAATTCTAATGATGTGTTTGGATGAAAAATTTTATAAATTTAAAAAATTTTAAATTCTTGATATTTGAATTACTTTAATTTCAATTTCTATCATTCTTAAAATATTTTGTTTGGATAAGTTAATTTAAATTTCTCAAATTTTAAATTGTTGGGTTGAATATGATAATTTGATTCTACCATGGTAAAATTTAATTTAAAATATATTTATGTTGATATTTTTAAATTAAATTTTATAAAAATAAATATTAGCTAATTTTTAAATATTTAATAATTTTAAAATTAATATTAGATAATATTTAATAATTTTAAAAATATTTTTGAATATTCAATAATTAAAAACATGAAGAGATAAAAGATAAGATAAAAATATATAAGTGAAATAAGAAAAAAAAATGAGGAATTTCAAATTCTTACTTTTTTGAGAGAATTTGAAATTCTACTATTTCAAGAAATTTCACAAATGCTTGAATTTTAAATTCCTTATAAATTCTCTATCCAAACAAGGTATTTTACCTCAAAGAATTTGAAATTCTTCAAATAAATGAATTACTCTATTTAAATTTTTCATCCAAACACACTATAAAGGTTAAGTCCTTTTAAGTTCAAACTAACGTAATTTTTGAAAGTAAATATATTGTTTTGAAAAGTATTTTTAAAAGTTTATTTTAAAAACTACACAACACAATTCTGATAATAATTAAAAAAATAATATTATTTCTGTTTGATTATTCATCATAAAATCAAGAAATAATACATTTTAAAATTAGGCATTCAAAAATTCACAACTTCTCTTATAATCTTGTTGATGTTAAAAAGTACAATAATCGCAAAGATTGACATCCTCTTCCAGCCCAACGTGTTTAAGACCAGACATGAACTATAACTAGTGTCTGATCCAACTCTAACGGATGGCCCAAATCAGGGGTACAAACATTAGCATAATTTTATAGAAGTCAATGTTAATTGAGAGTTAGACTGAGAGAAATAAAGTTTAAAATTTAAATCAAAAAATGCAGATTTCTCTCCATGTAATTCTTAAAAGAAAAATAAAATATAAATCAAATTTTATCAATTTAGTTTGAATGCAATTTTTTCTTCTTCAATAAACCTAAAAGAAACTAACATAATAAAAGCGAGATGTTACGAATCAAGTTGATAACTTATAGATATTATTAGAATTCTAATTTAAAAATATTTAAATATAATTATAAAAGTACATTAAAAAAAAATCAATAGTAACCTTTAAGTTTTTAATTAACTAAAATATACGTGTTAAAAAATTTCTTAAATTACAGAAAGAAATATGAGAAATTATACACATTTTCTAGTACTTTCTTCTTATTGAAAACTACAATTTATTTATTTATTTTTATAAATTTCACTGCTAAATGAAAAACAAACTAATTAAATATTTTAATTAATAATAAAACAAAATTTATGCTCTAAGACGCGAGACACACGCCCCGTATCTTATAAAACATTTTTTAATCCATAAATGAGAAGATAATAGATGTGATAATTGAACGAATTAGTAAAAATTAAATATGACAAAACTTAAATATGGTATGTGATAATTGAATGAATTAGTAAAAATTAAATATGGCAAAACTTAAATATATTACCAAAGATATTGTTAGTGTTACTTTTTAATTAAAATTAAAATTTTGCATTGTCAGCGTAAAAGATCTGTTTTAATTTGATTCATGGTGATGGAGTTTATCCAAGTGATGCATTTTGACGCACGCCCACCGAATGGGAAAACATTTCTCTCGAAACTGCTGCATGCAGCAGTATCATAGTATGTTTCCTCGTATCTTTATTCAACGGCGTTTGAAATTAACTTCAAAGCTTAAACCAAGCAACAGAGCACCCAGATACAGAGATTTGACCAATCAAATCCACGTGCTGCGTACACATAAATAACATCCTTCTATTGAACTTGAACGTTTGAGTGAAGAACCTATAATCTTTCTGGCTTAGCTCGCTTACCACACCATATGGCTGTTCCTGTGGCCCTGTTACCTCGTTGGTCGCTGTTTCTTTTTCTCTTTGTCTTGTGTAGCTCAGGAGCAAAGGTTGTCACTGTTGATGTACATGCAGCCAAGAGTCTCATCCAAACTGGCTCCATTTATCTTGATGTTAGGTAAGACATATTAATATATTTTTTATGTGTCAAAATCTGACATCATATCTGATTAACCGTTTCAGCCTAAATCTTTTGGTAAATAAATAATAGGACGGTGGAAGAGTTCCTGAAAGGGCATGTGGCTGCGGCTAATATCGTTAACGTTCCATACATGTTGAATACACCCAAGGGTAAGAATCTTTTTAATTACTAAAAAAGATAACTCAGACTAGTTTATTTTTAGTGTGCCAAGATAACAAATTTTCTACCTTTGTGATTTTGGAGAGTAGGCAAGGTAAAGAATCCAGACTTTCTGAAGGAGGTTTCATCGGCTTGTAACAAAGAAGATCATCTCATTGTGGTAATTAACTATATATCTTTTTGTTCTTGCTCTTTATTTTTTTCCCATATTAAAAATATAAACTGCAATTTCAACTGGTTAATGCTAGTTAAAGTCAACATAATAATGTTTATCTCTTGTATGAATCTGTATTTCAGGGTTGTCAAAGTGGGGTGAGATCTCTGTATGCAACTACTGATCTTCTGTCTCATGTAAGTTAATGCATGTCATCTTTGGTATACTTATTGTCTCAATTTAGTCTTGAATACAGATGCATATATATATAGCAGTGACTACTAAATATCTGAACATCACTCTAGGTATATAATTCGTGCAATGTAGCTTATTCTGCTTTCTTTTATTTTCTTCTTTTGACTATGGATGAAAATACTAACTTGAATTGGTTTGATTTGAATTGGTAGGGTTTTAAGAATGTGAACGACATGGGAGGAGGGTATGTGGACTGGATTAAAAACAAGTTTCCAGTGAATATACCACTAGCCAAGGAGGAGCTATAATAAGGAATCGTTAGGACTATTCATATTTCTTTCTAAATGGTTTCATCCGGAGATACCACATCCATCTATATGTATATGTACAATTTCAGAGTGTTCATGAGTTCTACTTACGAAATACTTTATTTCAAACTGTGCGGTTATGTTTCCAATTATACTTCATTTTGTTATTTTATACGAGAAGAACGAAACTGGTTTCATGTCATGATGTCAAGGTCGTTTTCATTTATTGTTTACAAAGTGTTGTGTCCATTCTAATCTGTGTCGTGGCTAAAATTTTTCAGTTTTCTTGATTGCCTCGCTCACAATTTTTTTTTGGAATAATTTTTTAATATATTGATTCAGACCTAACGCAAAAACAGCCGATGCCTGTACTTTTTCCTCAAAGATTGCAATTTTTTTCCTTTCTAAAATAAATACGTGAGCACATTTACTGGTAGTTAAGTCCTGATCAATCGTGAAATATATCAGTAACTCAACGTATTAGGCTTATCATAAATTCTGCTTTTATTAATCACCGTTTCTAATGGGAAAAAAGGACCCATAATATTGAAGTGATTTAGTAAAGGTTTTTTTGGCACTATTTGGGGATTAGAATGACATAAAATAACATAGTTGACGAGTTCAATTATTGAAATATCAATATTCACACCAACCACTACTGCGTGATGAAAAGCAGGGGCAAGATTAGTGACATTGGGTCAATGGACCTAATCTTTCATCAATTAATATGAAACACAATAAATGGGTTTAACACGCACGTAGATATGTATCATGCATTATGGTTTGTTAGGAATAATTATTTATATATACATATTTTTCCGCTTTCTTTTCCTCATTAAAGATCCTGATCTACATGAGGAACGAGATTGTTTAAGCCGAAAACTTTACCTTGGAATGTTGCATCTGCGAATTCTCATTGGTGAACAAGTGACCATAACGTTGTGTTGTGTCGTTGTTGAAGCGTGGCCATGCGACAGATCCAACATGAAGTGACTAGTTAACCGAACCTAGATAGATAGTTGGGAGATCAGTGAATGGGACCATTATTCCCAACTGGTTCGTGGCAGCACATGCATGTGCTTATTATTAATTTCCTTAGGACACAGTCTCAACATTTTGCCTCACCAAAGCCACCACCAACTCCATCTCCACATAAATGACCCTAACTATGTTATGTAATGAAGAGACCACACACACAATAGGGTTGTCTGTTCCTGTGATGGAGGTTTTTTCTTTATAAGTCCCATTGAAGGACACAATTTTCATGTTTTGTTTTGAGGACGGATACAAGACATGGGGGAAGAAAATGAAGAAGGAAGATCCTTAGCTGAAACCCCCACATATGCTGTGGCAACTGTCATCACTGTCTTGGTTTCTCTCAGTTTCTTGTTTCAAGGCACGTTAAAAAAATTAGTAAAGGTACATAAGTATATCATCATCCTTGGTTTTTCTCTCCTTCTAATTTCTCACTTTTATGGTTTCTTATTCATTGAGTAATGTCACAGTGGTTAGACAAAACCAAGAGAAAATCTCTGCTTTCTGCTCTGGAAAAGATCAAAGAAGGTAGAAAATTGTATACCCAAATGGTTCCATTAATATGTTTTTATTTTGTTATGTTTATGTTTGGACTAGTAGAACTTACAACTATAAATATGTGGAGTCTTTTTTGAGCAGAATTAATGCTTTTTGGACTTCTGTCATTGCTGATGGGTCATTGGATTATTTTTGTGGCAAAGATTTGTGTTAAGTCATCGGTATTGAGCAGCAGATTTTTTCCATGTGCAATGGACAAGAATTCTGCGAAACGTATTGTTTGGCCAAGTTCAGAATCTATAAATAAAACAGATTTCAAAGGACTAGAGATCTCTGGCCGGCATAATTATTGTCCTGAGGTAAACTTTCCTATTCCTTTCAGTTCACATCCTAGGAATTAGGATGTTTCAATCGTAAATTTGGTATGCTTTTGCCTTCTGTTGGTAATGCAAGAAAACTAGTCCTTCTCAGTAATTCTAATCTGATCAATAGTTCAATTCTAAAGTAGACTTCACAGGAACACTTTCACTGAAAACTCATCACTTTACAGGGTCATGAATCATTGGCTTCTTATGAAAGTCTTGAACAGCTTCATCGCTTTGTGTTTGTTCTTGGGGTCACCCATATTACCTATAGCTTTATTGCTGTTGCCCTGGCCATGATCAAGGTTAAAATGGTCCTGATTTAATTAAACTTTCTTTCTGTTCTATTTTAATTGGTTAGGAACTGATTTTCTTATTTTAGAGTTTATTCAGATATATAGCTGGAGAACATGGGAAAATGAAGCAAAGACTACTGCTATACAAAGCATACAAGGTTCTGACTTCTAAGTATCTGATAATTGCATACTTTCATCGAGTCGATAATTATTTTGCGATACATCAAGCTTGATCTCTTCTTTAAATAATAATCCGTTTTTATCAAATTGTCTTAGTTTAGATACTCCACAAAGTACATCAAGCATAAGATTGAGGCGGCTTAGTACATTCATCTTTCACCGTACATCCCATCCTTGGAGTAATCACAAAATTCTAGTTTGGCTGGTACTCTACGCAGTCATTTTTGTTCTGTTTTTCTCTCTTTAAGCATAAGATCTTTGACAATGCATGAAATATTGTATCTACTCATGGTTTATTACTGCATGTTGTTCTTATTTCATTGTTTGAACTAATCATGGAATGGATTGATCTCATTAATAATATCTTAATTCCAATAGGAAAAAATCAATTCAAATCACTTCTGTTTTAGATTAAACTATAGTTCATCAAATACGGTAACTGCTCAATTAAAATTCCTTCCCCCTCAACATGTTCTGTAAAGATTGTTTCCAACAAGAGAAGCATATGCAAATGTACTGTGTACTTGCTAGTTGCCATAATTTATCTCTTGCATAAGCTTGTTAAAAGGCTAAAAGCAGCATGTTGCTGGAAGTAAAATGGAATTTTTTTTCCTTCATGTAAAGGTTTTTGACACTGTAGTAACATTTTCCTTGGCTTTTGAGATTGCTGACGAATCTGTATTGCAGCTATGTTTCAGCCGCCAATTTTGGAGTTCCATTCACCGAGCTGATTACATGGCATTGCGCTTAGGCTTCATTACCGTGAGTAAATTTTTTGTCATAACATAACAGTAACTTCCATCAAGTAAAAAAAGTATAGATAAGCACTAAGCCTATAGTTTTCAACTAAATATCTTACGGCACCAAGTTCATGGAGGAAATTAGTGGATACATTGGATTTCCTTATGGTAGTAGTACATATGATATCTATTTGTACAATCTCATCTAACTAAAAACAAAGAAAGGAAAGCTCATGATTCATGAGATATGAGCGGATCTGTATTACCTTTTTCCCCCTTCTTTCTCATTGTTCAAAAGTGAAGACTGAAGAACTGAAGATGACAAATTAAGTTTGCTAGCTAATATTTCTGCGTTTTCTTCTTTGTTCTGGTGTTTATAGAATCATGAGCTTCCCCTAACATACGATTTCCACAACTATATGCTTCGAAGCATGGACGAGGAATTTCGTGACATAGTTGGTGTTAGGTATTGTTTCTTTATTCAGATAAATTTGGTGGCTTTGTTTATCATATTAAATTTTTTACTGTAATTTTGTAATACTAATTAGACTTTTAAGTTTTCTAGCATTATTGAATTGGGAAATATATTTATGATTATCTATATTTTTCAACTTCTTTCATTTTTGAGTTTTTTATTCTGATCTGGCTCTAAAAAATAAATTTGATGGCTTCATTTGGACTTGTTTTGCAGTGTGCTTCTCTGGGTATATGCCATCTGCTGTATTTTTCTAAATTTTCACGGTAAGTTTAAGTAAGTTCTAGCTTAAAAGTATGTTGGTCAGATGTGATCTTAAGCAACTTGAGCAGGTAATATGTTTTAACTTGGTGACTTCAGCTATAAAAAATTCAAAATGTGTGGTGTGTGAACAGTACTGCTTTGGTAACTGCATATATGTGTAGCTGACATGTACAACCCTTCTGAGTAAAACTGTTGTAGTAGGTATTCTTTTATTATGGGAAGCATGACATGCAGAAACCAAATGCAACATAAAGTTTTTCATCTACTTTGATAAACATTTTCTTCCTTGAATTAATTAGGACAAAAAAACTCAGCGAGAGCTATTACCAGAATCATATCTTTGTAGCTACTCCTTTATAACGATACCAGTGCAATTTTCTAATAATGTGGTGATAAGTGATGACTACAACCATTTATTGTGGAGATTTTGCAATGATGTAAATAAAAAGTCCATTTTGGACTAGTAATCATGTGTATGGTCTCTCATAACACTGGCATAGTGTTCTATTTCTGAAATATGATGGTAGTTTTACTCATGGACCTAGTGTGACTGTATGACACTAAACTCCATAATTTTTATTCAGGAAGCAACTTTTACTTTTGGCTTTCCTTCGTTCCAGCAATTGTAAGTCTTGATAATGCTTGCTATGGCTTTTTCACTGGTAGTTACATTTCACTAACTATTTTTCCTGTATTGACTTGCATTATAGTTGATCCTCATAATTGGTACTAAATTGCATCGAGTGGTGGTAAAGTTGGCTGTTGAAATTGTAGATCGTTGCCCAGTTATCAAACCTCACCGGTTTAACTTAAGAGATGAGCTATTTTGGTTTGGAAAGCCTAGGTTTCTGTTACGGTTAATACAATTGATATCCTTCTTGGTACGTAATTTTGTGTTTCCATTTTGCTTTTCATTGCTGATACACTTCTTAATACCTTTTCCCTTTTGTTATCTTTCAGAATGCATTTGAAATGGCAACATTCTTATGGTCCCTGGTAAGAAACTGAGATTGTTTGCATATTGCAGTACGTAACTCTAGGTAGTTGGTGTTGTACCATAAGTATGTTAGCTCTCCAACACCATTCCATGCTGCCATATTACCCTAACTTTTTTGGTTTTGGCTAAAGTGAGGACTTCACAAAAATCGGATACTTGCTTAATCTATGTTGCCTTTATTTTGTTTTCAGTGGGAAATTAAAGATCCTTCTTGCTTCATGAGCAACCACACATTTATCGTGATCCGCTTGTCATTCGGGTATACAATACTTCTTGTCAATGTTTTTAGAGTCTGTTTAGATACAACAAATATTTCTATATCGGAAAAACCTTTTTTATTTTTAATAGAAAATTCTCAATTATTTTTTTTAAACTTGTATGCAAACAGATTTTTACTCTTTTCGCATATTAAATTGAATTACAATTTCATCAAAATCATATGTACTTTGGCTCTTTTGTTACCACAGGGTCATCTCCCAAGTCTGGTGCAGCTTTATAACGTTTCCTCTCTATGTCATCATCACACAGGTCAAGTTCTTGCTACTAAAAATATTTTGGAGCCTGCACTGCTGCGCCAAACAGTTAATAGTCAGTTGAGAATGTTATCCAACACATTACTTGAAACACTCATTTAAACACTCTTTATTATTAACTGAAAATTGTATTGGTCTCATTCTTTATTTATCTAGCCTTTAATAATAGTGTATCACTACCGATCTTCACAAGTCGTTATGGCATCTTGATTTTTAAGATAACATCAATACCTTTAATACCAAAGTACCTTCATAGGCCTTTGGGAGTTGTGTATGATGATTGATGATGCTTAGGCCATTGACACATCTTCCTCTATTCTTGTTTTACACAGCACATGTGCAATTGCACTGAATCACACATTTAAACCGTCTTAAAAATCTTGGCTATGTGAATGCAGATGGGGTCAAGGTTCAAGAAGACTGTGGTCACTGAAAATGTAAGAAAATCACTCTCTAAATGGCAGAGAAGAGTGAAGGACAGACAAAGTTCCTCTTATGCAGTCCTTACCGCAATATCAGCATCGTCATATGGAACTGTGTCTAATTCCCGTGCCTCAAATAGTGAGGAAGGAAGCTGCTCAGGGATTAAAGATATTTGTCTTGATAATGTGTCAAACACCCAAGAAAATGCACCATTTCAAAGTTATGGAGATCATCATGATCATAATCATAATGTAAACGATGATTCATCTTCCCCTCCTCCATCTTGAGATTGCTTTTCTTGTGCTGTGGACAGTATGATGAATTTAATTGGAATATTTATTTGTAACTCCATCTCATTTTTATTTGGTGGTATATTGTTTAATTCTTTCTTTCACATATTAAATCATACATATGAAAATCTAACATTGTTAATATATAAAAATTCATATGTCATGGCATGAAACTTTAAACTTTAAAGGACAAAGAGACATCCAACAATAATTTTTAACTATGAAGAGACACACATCGTGCCGGTGTCGAGAAACACTCTTATTTTATTATGTCATGTCTTGGCACAAAATACGTTCTCTACTTTTCTGTGTTTTCTCAATCTAAAACATCAACTAAAACTAATTTAAAATTTGTAAGATGGAAATAAAATAGGTTTATAAAAACTGAAAAACAAAAAAGTTAACTATAAATAAAATTATATGTCGTAAATAAAATGAGAAGTTTCTCCTTAATTGATATTATACTTTGAGTTAATCACTTATACACTGTCAGTGTAAAGTTTTTTTACACTGATAACTAATAAGATCTTTTAATAGTGTCATTTCATTTACTTATTTAATTAAATTAAAATAAAAAAACACTATTAAAATATCTGATTGGTTGTCAATGTAAAAAAATTTTATACTGACAGTGTATAAGTAATTAACTCTTATACTTTTTTTGGGGATAATAATGACATAACTTTACTTTTGGCTGTAGAGATACCTGTAGGTTCAATTCTATGTTAAAAAAAACACTTGTGAAAATTTTAAAATGTAAACTAGTTAATTACCCATGCATACTCACGGGTCAAGTTGGTTCATAGAAGAAAAATTGTGAATCTAAGACATATGTTTTGTTTATTATTTTCATTAAAAGATGTTTCAATTTTTTGTCATTGAAATAATGGTACGTAAAATTTGTCCTTGTAATAAATAGGTCAACAACATCTAATAATATGATAGAAATATAAGGTAAAATATTTGTATGTTTATATATTGTTTACGATGTAATAAATAAATAAAAGATAATGATAAAATAAATAATTATCTACTAAATTATTTAATTGTTTTTTGAGGTTGAAAATTGCATTGATGCTTATAGAATTAAGCTTCAATTTTGGCCCATTGTAACATAGGAAGACATGTTATTGAGGCTAAGGAAACAAGAAAAAAAATGAAGAAATTTGTGTTTCTATGATGAATAGCGTATCCATCGTAAATAATTTTACTTCATGCAGTCTTGGTATTTATGGATTCATAAAGGACTTTAATCTCCCAAGGCATGTGATATTATTGTGACTAGTATAATAAAGATTATTCTCATGCCTGTGATCACTTTTTGTCTTGTTATTCATGTGATTCATGTAAATATACGTTTTCTTATTAGTTTTTTTGAGACAATTTTAGAAAAATAAACTATTATTTCATCAAAAAATTTTTATCTCAACTAAGCATAAATTAAATGAAAATTAATAGATAAAATTTATCATAAAACTGATTTCCAAACTTTTCGGTCATAATTTGAAGGTCAAGTACAAAATAATATTCTCTTATTTTGGAGAATAAGATTTATTTATCGAACTAAATTTCATGCTAACCCCATTGATAAAGTAGGCAAAATTTACTTGACAAGATCAACATAAAAGATCACTAAATAATAAATAAATATATAAAGTGTAGTGAGTGCAATTTTTTTAAATTTTTTTTTTTGCCAAGACTAAGGGATAACAGGCTTTAATAGGTCCGAAACAGGCCCGCTTGGGTAGGCCCAATAAGTTTCATCTTCCTCTGTATGACGCTGCACTACATCATTGGTTTTGGAAAATTAAGCTTTCGGTCACAGAACAAAGGTTTTTTTTTCACTCTTTCGCTTCCGAATCTTCAACAATGGTGCTCGAGGTAATCCCCAATTTCCCTCTAATACACATGCGTGATTTCAACCAACCACAGCATGCCAATTTCTATTTTCTAGGGTTTTTCTTGATGTTACGGGAACACTTTTTTCATCGTATTGCTTTATTCAACAGGCGACGATGATCTGTATCGACAATTCTGAATGGATGCGTAACGGGGATTACTCTCCTGCTCGATTTCAAGCTCAAGCAGACGCTGTCAATCTCATTTGCGGTGCTAAAACCCAGGTTAGGTTAAGCCAAACCGTACAATATTCCGCTTTTTCAATTTATTTCCAATTTATTTTATATTTGTTATCGTTTCATTAAATTATTTTAGTTTTTTTTTGGAAAATTAGTCAGAGTTAGAGAATACTAGCAATATTATAGCTGGCTTGAGATAGGGTAAACTAATGGTTTTGTTGTTGATGTTGCGTTTCGGATTAGGTTTTTAAATTTGAGGTTCAGTTAATTGTGTAGGGTTCACTTGTGCTGACGAATCGTTTTGATTTTAATAATACATACAGTCTAATCCAGAAAATACAGTGGGAGTTCTCACAATGGCAGGGAAAGGCGTTCGTGTTTTGGTCACCCCTACCAGTGATCTGGGCAAGATCTTAGCTTGCATGCATGGTCAGTACTTTGTATATTTTTTTTTGAATTTTTTTACCTTTGTTTTTATGGCTTGCTGTTCTAGATTTATAATTTGAACCACATCCTATTGGAAAAAGTAGTATTTGATATGGGTTATAATTGAATCTAACCACATATTATTATTGAAATTACTGTTTTGTTAGCATGTGCCCCTGGGACTTAGGTTAAAAAATAATAGTGGTAACTAAAATGAAAATTACAAGCATTAAATATCATGAAAATCCAAAAATCATTGAACACTTTTTCTACAAATAATATAGACGAGTGATAGACGTGTTTATTTTTTATTGCATAATGTGTGCCCTAAGACATTGACGTCAATTTTGTTGAGCCTCTTTTCTTTTTGGATGTTACTTGCAGCTGTGTAAGGTTGCTTCTTATAGGGCATGTCTATTGGTTAAGTTGAACTTTTTCTAATGTCATTTCTAAAATGATAAAGCAGAATCAAACATGTTTGTTGCACATTCTTCTACCACATTGTGTCATGGTGGATTCTTCCTTTTTGAAAAGTGATTTCATTTTATTTTTCTAATTTAGGACTAGAAATAGGTGGTGAGATGAACCTAGCTGCTGGGATTCAGGTGGCACAATTAGCTCTTAAGCATCGGCAAAATAAAAAGCAACAGCAGAGGATTATTGTCTTTGCTGGAAGGTATGCTTATCTATATTTCGTACCTTATAAAGTTGTATTAGTTGTAGTTATTTTCTTTCTTGATTATCTCAATTGATGTTTTTCAGTCCTGTCAAGCATGAAAAGAAGATGTTGGAGATGATTGGGAGAAAGTTGAAAAAGAATAGTGTTGCACTTGATATTGTTAATTTTGGTGAAGAAGATGAGGGGAAGACAGAGAAGCTGGAAGCACTCCTTGCAGCTGTTAACAATAATGATACCAGCCACATTGTTCATGTTCCATCTGGTCCAAATGCTCTTTCTGATGTACTTATAAGGTGTGTGGGCTCAATTTCATCTTGTACTTTTTCTTTTTCATCCCTTTTTTCAATGTACACTATTTTGTTATCCAACTTTTAAGATATTCATGTGATGTTGTTTTGTGACAGTACACCTATTTTTACTGGTGACGGGGAAGGTGGAAGTGGTTTTGCTGCTGCTGCTGCTGCAGCAGCAGCTGGTGGTGTATCTGGATTTGAGTTTGGTGTGGATCCAAACTTGGATCCCGAATTGGCTCTTGCTCTAAGAGTTTCAATGGAAGAGGAGAGAGCCAGGCAAGAAGCAGCTGCGAAAAAGGCTGCAGAGGATGCTGCCAAACAAGAGAAGGGAGGTGAGCAGCCAGCCAGCTCACAAGACGCAACAATGACTGAGCGTGCCAGTGCAGCAACATCTGAAGCTGAGAATAAGACAACTGATTTGATGGTTGGTATTTTTGTTGCATTTATCTATGTGTAATGTTTTACAACTATATTATTTTCCCCTTTTTCCATAATTATGCTCTGCATTTTAACCTCTGTGTGTGTGTTGTCTGTGAGAGATGTCAAGAAGTTATGGCCTTAAGGGTTACAGGCAGTTTGGAAAAACAACTTTTTGCTTTTCTAAGTGCAACCTAACTTCAATGTATCTTCCCTTAAAAGATAGGATATGTAAGGCATTATATTCATCACTAAAATATTTTGCTTCTTCCTGCTTGTTTTGGTTTCAAATTTGTTCTCATGTATTATTTTATTCTATTTGTTCCTTTTAGATATTGTAGTATTTTTGTTTGTATTTTTATTCACCTTCAAATGGAAACAGGATGATGAGAATGCCCTACTACAGCAGGCACTAGCAATGTCAATGGATGATCCTGCCATTAGCCATGATGTAAAAGATACAGATATGTCAGAAGCATCTGCAAGTGACCCTGAGTTGGCTCTAGGTAAGTTTTTATGTTGTTTCTAAGAAACACAGATATTGACATGATCATGATGCATGCTTAGACACTGCAACACGGTACAATTTAAGTGTCTCATGAGGCATTGAAGTGTCACATGGTATCTGATTTGTGTTCAACATGGAAACATGGACACAGCCCTTTTGAATGTCCAACTGTTTGCATCATAGTTCTTCCATTAAAACATGGCCAAAAATTGAAAGTCGTTCTTTTTTCATCCCATCTTTTATATGAGAAATGCCTTGTTTATACATCTTGATGATTGAACTAGTTATCAAATGTAGGGCATTTAATCTTCTTTTCAAATTTCAACATGGTGCAGAGAGGATTTCTTCATGTGTTTGCACTTTAATGAAGTAGATAATTCTTTTTACTTTATGGTAAACAGAATGATTTCAATGCATAGGGTTTATTTTGTCTGCATTTACATTTACCTGACATGGGGTTAAATTAATTTATATCTTAGTGGTGGCTATGATGTTATTGGTTTTTGATCATTTATTGCTTGCAGCTCTCCAAATGTCAATAGCAGATAGTACAAAGGATCAAGCAAGCCAGTCGGACATGAGCAAATTGTTGGCTGATCAATCCTTTGTATCTTCTATCCTTGCATCAGTATGTCTAATAATCCTGTGATGATTTGTTTTGTTCTTTTAACATAGTAGATGCGCTAGATTG